AGATACATTAAATTTTTTTTAAAAAATATATAAGAATATTATTTAGATATTAAAGGATATCATTTGGTCTTTGTAGGATATATTCAAAGATAAAATACAGTCATTCAAGGATATGAACAAGTATTTCTACGATAGATTACATTGTTAATTATTTGGAGGATATCTTCAAAACATTGCAGGATATCTTCTAGTCTTTTTATGATAGGTTATAAATAATATGTAGACTTGTTATAATATTATTCAATATTTATAAGACATCTAAATGTAATTTTATAATATCATTGACAAAATATAAATTGTAATTAAGACTAAACACTGCAAAATGATTGAAAAGACTAGACATTGTTAAAATATCAATCACTTTTAATAAAGTGGTTTGAATAAAAAAAAATTTACAGTGTTTATAGTATTCAAAAAGTAAAAATTTCAGTCATTTTTAATAATGTTGTTTGAATAAAATATCATTCACTATTTACAAAATATTATCCATTTGTTTCAAGATAAGATCCTATTTTTAGATGATATCATTCAAATTTTGAAGGATATCATTGATTTTTTTTAGATGTAATTTTTTTTTAGCATATTATTTGATTAATGATTATAGTATTTTTATAAGGATATCATCAAAACAACGAATATGTAACTAAAATTAATGTACTTCAACAATTATTTAGTAAACTAAAATTAGAAATTTATTAATTTAAATACATTATTTACAAAAAAAAAATCCTCATCAATTAAAAAAAAATTACAAAGCATCGTAATATCATAACAATTTAATTGTAAATAAACATAAAAAAAAAAAAAAAAATTGAATTCCCCTGCAAAAGCTCAAGTACAACAGCTTCATTAGGTTGAACTTCATAATCTTCAATCAATTTATCAACACCATTCTTAATAAGACATTGAATGATTTTATTTTCAGAAGTTTTAATATTCAATTGCGCTTCAAATTCAGTATCATAAAGTCGCAACTTAACATCAGTTGATTTCCCAAGCGTGCTGAAATGTTTTTTAGCAAAATCCAAGGGAACATTCTGCATCAATAAAACAAAAGTTTTCAATATAATACATAGAAAAGTAAAATTCCAATGAATAATAAAACTCACAAAAAAATGAACCATAATTCCTTACTATAATTCCTTCTAAATCATATGACTTAGAAAAAATGAAATTAAAACAATTCCCTTCACAATCAGCTTGTATGCTCTCTGCCCAAGCTTTTGCCTCTATCATATTTGATGAAGATCCTTGTATTGAAGGCTTTCTTCCACGCTTTTTTCTGGAATTGCTACTTTTATTTGCCATTCTTATGATATATCTCCTTAAGAAGTTACTCAAAGTATTGATTTTTTTTTTTCCGATTAAAAAGCAATTAGAGTAACTCACAAAATTGTTGATTATATATATAACAGTTATTAAATCTAAGTCAAACATAAAATTAATAGTCATAAACCATTTACATAAATGCTTTGACTTGAATATTATTAAAACAATTTGATTGGTAAATGAAAACATGAAAAACGGAAGTTTGTTTAAGAATTTGTGGATTAACATGAAATTTAATGTAAAATTGTTTTTATGATATTTACTAGTTTTTGAAGATATTATCTACTCAATATTGAAATGTAAAATTGTTTTTATAATATTTAGTCTTTACGGGATATCATTCAGATGTTATAGGATATAGTCTAGTTTTTGGTTAAGTTAATTTAGAAGGGTAAAAAGAATTATTTAAAGTTTTAAGAATTGAAGATTAATAGTAATATGTTGAATGATAAAAAATTTCCTTTGAAGATATCATTCAGATGTTATAGGATATAGTCTAGTTTTTTTTGTTAAGCATATCATATAAAAATTATTATTTAGAGGATAATATCAAATCATTTGAAGATATCAGCTTACATTTAGTCTTTAGAGGATATTTCTTTGGATTATATAAACAACATGTTATATGACTAAATGTAGTATTTAGAATATTTTTTATCATCGAGTTTTTATTATATTAGTAACAGGTTAGTTGATAAAATATAGCCATTTAAGGAATTGATTTTTCGTTATGAGTATATCATCTAGTCGTTATAGGATATAGCCATTTAAGAAAATGATTTTTCGTTATGAGGATATTTTGTGGTATTTAATTTTTAGAGGATATCATCTAGTCGTTATAGGATATAGTCCAGTATTTAGAAAATTTCTTATATATTTATTAGAAATAACTAGTATTTTATGTTAATAGGATATTATGTAGTCTTTGGAGGATATCATTCTGTATTAGGAATAGCAAGTATTTTTATTATATTAGTAACATGAGGTTGATAAAATATACCAATTTAAGAAAATGATTTTTTTTTATGAGGATATCACGTAGTATTTAGTCTTTACAGGATATCAACCAATCGTTATAGGATATATAGTTCAGTGTTTGGTCAAGTTAATTTAGCAGTGTAAAAAGAAATATTTAAAGTTTTAAGGATATCATACAGTTAATGAAGGATAGGTTTCTGTGATTTAAAGTTATAACTAAATGTTTAATGATATAATATTTCGTTTTAAGGATATCATATGAAGAATATTGTTTTGAGGATACCATTATATCATTTGACGATATCAGTCTACAATGGGCCTTAAAAAACGTGCGTTTTTAAATCGAGCTGGGCTTTTTTAATCTCCGCTTTTTTTTAATCAACTGACGAAGCCCGATTTTAACGGGTTTTAACCCGAGCCTTTTTGATAAAGTGGGTTTATGCTTTGATGTACGAAGTGTTTCGTGCGTCAAGCCGCACGTAATACGCGCTCTTCAATATATGTACATGCATAGGCTAACTCATACCACTGTAGGAGTTTATAGGTACGAATTGCGAAAACATGAATCACATTCTTATATCAGAATATCACCTAATCCCAAGATCATGCATAACACATAAAGAATAAGAATTAATATCTTTGTAGCGTGATTCCACGTATGATCGAGCAAGAACAATAAAGAGAATAAGAACCCCACGTGTGATTCCTCTACTAAGTCCATGAGCATGGATCAAACCTCCACTAATGCTAGTTAGTTATGATCAAACACTTCAATCAACCTTTGACGGAGATGTGAATCACGAGCACACCACAAACCACCTAAACAACCTCCACACACGCCACCCAAGTGGGCCGACCGTACGGATAGGGAGGAGAGAGAGAGAGGGACGAGTGGAGAGAGAAAGAATTAGGGTTTTGGGAGTTTGTTGCTTGGTTCAGAATTAACTGTTAATTGTTATATCATACAACCCTAGGTATGGATTATATTTAAAGATCACATCTCTAAATAAATCCATGTCAAGCCCAAAACATTCTAAGCTCACCAAACTATCCTAGCCCAACAATCAATGTGGCATGTCATAAACTCATGAGGCCCAATAATGGGCCTCTAACTTATTTGACCCAATACTCTTGTGTGTGACCTCATATGATCCATTCTATAAGGCTTTGGACTATTTAACTAGCCCAAAGATCAATTGTCATTTCTAGCACCAAACACTAACGACCCTATAGAATGAACTAATTATCTCCATAATAGTGATCCTTAATATATCTAGTAATTGTACTTATCAAAGACATAACTCCTTCATTAAGGTGGTTAGGCTTCTTTTTCTCCTTCTCCCAATCGTGGATCGACCCCCCTACTGGTATTGTCAAACTTAACGGTTATGCTTTCCTTGTTGATGATGGCTGGGTTGGTAAGAGAGCAGTGGCGCGGGACTATAAGGGCGTGGTTATTTTTGCTGTTGTTAGACGTGTCAGAGCTTATTAGGATCCCCTTGTTGCAGAATGCAGAGCTGCACTTTTTGGCCTTAAAGAAAGCAAAAGAATTTGGCCTGGGAGAGGTACTTCTTGATTCAGATTGGCTCACAATGGTGACTAAGTTGCGTAAGAGCTCCCTGAGTCTTTCCCTTGTTAATGTTGTTATGCATGATATTCTGTGTCTTAGTAGTTGGTTTAATTTCATTAGTTGGTCTCATGTCAAGAGAGATGGTAATTTTGTCGCCCATCATCTCACAAAGTTAGTGTCGTTTGATGTTAAACAATGTTGGGAACGTCATGCTTCGGATGATGTTTCCCTATACACGTTTGGACAATATTTCTTCTTAGTTAATAAATGCACTAGCTTCCTTGAAAAAAAAAACATAATTACAGCAACAGTTAATATTAAGATCAAATAAAAACTAAGGTACTACTAAAGTCCTAATCAACTTACAAATTTGATAACATACCCATAACAATATCATCATCAAAATATTGCTCCCATGTGGCCTCTCCTCTCCTCTCCTCTTCTCTTCTAGGGTTTCTCCAATATCTTGGCCATTTAGGCTGGAAATAGTCTAATTTCTAAATTAGCCATTTTCCCTAAATTTTCTTTAGTTTTGCAATTTAGGTTTCAATAAATCTACACAAGTGTAGATACGTCTGTCTCCCTATGTTGGAGTCGTTATTTTTTGTTGGTGTAGTAGTTTGTTTATGTTTAAGGTTTTTTTGTGTGTTATGGTTTATCAAAAAGGTAATCATCTTTTGTCCTATTGTCAGTTCTTTGGTAAAGATTTATTCGAAATCGCAACGGTTGTCAAGTTTTCTAATGCGTTCAAGCTAATCAAATGAAAATCATCCTTACGGCTACAAAAAATCGTTAGATGCTCTCTCCAAAAAGGTTGTATATTCCAGCGATGTGTGCGACAGATGTAGCATAGTACAAGATTTTTTACACGATCGTAGCTTTGATGAAGAAAAACCTAATTTGATTCTATTTTATGTATTTGTTAAGGTAAATTTCATTTGTAGATGCCGGATGCCTTTTTATTAATGAATTGATTTGTTTAAAAAAAATTTACATATTTGATCAATCATGGCCCTTGAGTTTACTGGTGTCGTGGCAGTGATTGGTAGCACGACAAATAATATGCAAACAGGGGGAAAAGAAAATCCCCCTTTATACAGAAAATTCACCATGCATGGTCAGATTATGAATTCCATTCATTTACAAAGAAGATGCAAAGGTAAATTTACAATGGCAGATCAAATTTGTACAAATTCTCAAAATCATATAACTTAAATGCGTTCAATAGATAAAAAATTACTTATTATTTAAGAATAAGATGCTCTTAATTGCACCAAAAATAACAATTTTGAAACAAAAATATAGAAGAATTAGAAGAACGCTTTAATGCACATTACGATTCAGCAAACCTTCGAAAACTGTATACAGGTCTTTATTGTCAGGACCAAAAATATCATCAGCTTTCCGAAGTGTTTCCTACAATAACATAATACCCACGAGATAGGTTAAATATGCAAATTATAACATAGACCAAATCACACATATACATACAACCACAGTTGTTTTGATATTTTTCTTGTAATAAAAGCACATATGTGACAACAAAATCACATAACATTATACGGAATAATAAAAGCACAAGCAAAGTGTTACCTATGACAACATAATACCCACTAGATATTGTGAAAAGTATACAAATGAAATAAGCTGAGCAAAACTAAACAGAAAATAAATCCAAAAAAAGGGCTTTAAGTAAATTAATAAAGCAAATATTAAACCTAACAAGCATTCAGTTATTCCTGATATACTCAGTTTTCCATACCCAATCTTATTACGCCCTCACCTTCGCCCGACCCTCTTCCACCAACAAACCATCTGTTTGGGCCAAGCCCATTGTCCTAAGCCCATTGACCTGGAATTACGAAAATACCTCTCCATGATCCAACCCATCATTAGTCATTGCAAAGTACAGATTTACCCCTAATCTATCCAAATAAGTACAACTTTTGCTACCTGAAAGTACAACTATAAATAGCACTCAAATCATTAATGAGGGTAACTTTTTCCTAATTCTCTCTCCTACTCTCTCTACTTTCTCTCTCCTTTCTCTCACTAGAAAGTACATTCGCTGACTTAAGCGTCGGAGGGGCTTTCCCAGGCCACACCCCCGGGGCAGTTAACCTTCTCTCTTTTGCATGTCTAGCTCTCGGACAACAAGGCGGAGCCGGAGGACATTTGGACATTCATTGGACTTAGTCTATAGGACATCTTGATATTATTACCCTAACCCCGAGGAGTATTCTGTTTCCAGAAACACCATCATATTCACTTAATCAGTGTCTCTCTTATGAACTGCCTTTTTAGCCTGCGAAGCTAACCTCTTTTCAACTATCTTGCACATTTTCTTCTATGGCTCCTCTCCTTTTCCATCATTGAAGAAACTCAGCTGCTAGCTAGGGATGGTGAGAGTCAAAGAACAAACCTCTACAACCTCACTGGTTCCTGAATTTTCCCTCCCAGTTTGTGTTTCTCCCTCCTCTATACACATACAAAGACATACATATTGAAGGGAAAGAGGAGTAAAGGAGTAAAGGATTTTAGTACTCGTATTCTTCTGTTATTTATAAGGATAAAGCATTCAATAAAGCTGGAAAATAATTGATAAGTATACCAGTTTAAAACAAGCTTCTGCTATTTCTCTACCCAAACATGAAGGCATGAAGAAGCAAATGGGGTAAAGGAGGACTTAATGGTCAATGGAGAATGAGAAGGGAGAAATTGGAACAGCTTAAGCACAGTGAGAATATTGATATCAAACTTGTTAGAAACAATTACAGTATAAGTTATTTCTTACAAAATTTAAAAGAAATCCAGCAGAGAAAGAGTAGAGATAAATCACGTACTTCTTTTGTTTGCTTGTGTGAATTCAGCTCCTTCACATTTGCTAAAAGTGCACCAAATTGTTCATAAGAGAGACGACTCCTGAGAAAAACAAACCAAGGGTCAGATGACAAACTCCGCCTTTTATGTCAGAACTGAGTGGACCAGTTACCAGACCACTGAAACAAAGTTCTTAGAACTTCTAAAGAAATGCATCAGCATAAGATCAAGGTAAAACGATTCACAAATGAAATCTTCATAAAGGGAATGCTAAACAATTGATCCCTGCTTAGCAAGATGAAATTATGAAGTAGCTTATAAAAAGAATAATATAATGTGCTGCATTTGTCAAAACTCTAACTTATCCCTTAGTCACAAAGTCACAGTTTGATTAGGTAAATACAGTTATGAACTTAAGTGTGTTTCTGACAGGAACCCATCAACGCGGTTCAAAGTATTGTGCAACTATAAAAACATGTTCAAAATATCAGAAAAACTAAAACAACTCCAGGGTAAGCGGTTAGACAAACATTTTGAGAAAGATAATGATATATTTCTGTGATGCAGTCTGGCAAGGGAGAAGCTACAATAAATATAGTCAGTATATGAGTATATCAATCCCAAAGCCCCACCCTTTTTTCCTGTAATGTTCTTGTATCCTCACAGAACTGACAATTCAATTGAACTCCAACGCCAGAAAGATGAAAATGAAAATTTTCTAAACACGTCCTTTAAGGGAAAACAAGCTGTATTTTCGATCTTAAAACTAAGTTTCAAGCATTGCAATAAGAATTAATAGCAGCTTTCAAAGTCTCAAGGAATTTTTCATAAAAGGCACTGGAATTCTACATAGGCACTAGAACATAGACCAGGCTGTGATAACACTGATAACAGAATGATGAGAACAAATTAACAAGCTTTGAACGCAGATGCATATATACAACACTTCAAAGACAAAAAAAAAGAGAATTAAATTTATATGGAAAGCTTCACAGAGAGGATACCTGACTTGGCGGAAGAATTCTTTCCCATCAACTCGAGGTCTCCCTGAAACATGAAAGATAATTATAGCAACCAGAGTATAAAAGACGGTAGCTGGTGTACATATATAAAAAAAATAAATGCCGCCATTTAACATAGTGGCATAGTATTTTTGGATGTGTCAAATTAATGTGTCAATATTCTTATGAAATATGTTATACTCTTGACATTATCATTGTTCCTTAAAATGGTTTCCCAAATGTCTAAGACACTTTTAAGTAGATAATGGCTTCCTCAGATCAGTCCTAAACAAATTGTGGCCTCTACTTTATTCAGTTTCCATGAATTTTTTGCACTAATTACTACAAACAAGTAATGAATAAATAGTAGCTAATTCTTTGAACGTCTAAACTCACCGCTTGTCGATTCAGAACCTGAAAAAGAACTATGGGTGCTTGAAGGCAAAGAATCAAGCATGCCTCCGGTTGTTGAAAATGAAACAGAATGTCTCCTTGGTGATGCTGGCTTAGATGTTCTGGATGGTGACACAGATGCAGATATAGGAGGAGAGCCCGGAGGAGTGAGGCGAGGAGTGCTAGTTTGTGATGCTAACAAGAGACCTGGTGATATCCGAGGTCTTGAAACTGCGAATCAAACAATTATTACTATTGTCACAAGCTCCAGCATAGCAATCTTTCTTTAATTATTGCACCTGTTTAATGGAAAGATTACAACCACAATGTCGACAAAGCAGCACATGATGTGCACAAATGCACGTGTAAGCAAACACTAGCAGGAACTCACCTTCTGCAACACGATCCTCCCGATATGAGTATCCACGTTCTAAAGTTTCAGTGTCGGTAGAAGAATATGCTGATGGAGGTACAGGATCATCATCTGAATCAGAACAAAAGCATTTAAACCACATCAGAGACCCTGATTGACATGGATGAGATTATATCTCTCTTGATAGTTATTCTTATTTCAATATAAATCATTTTTATACAATCCATATCAAGATATCATTATAGATAACTTGGACAAGCCATTCCTCCACCATGATCAATAATGAACCAGTCCACAACAATTACACTAATAAGTTATTGTATTCAAAAGGTAGATCTTTGCAAAAAGTTTCAATTAACGAGTTCCAGATAGACTAAGTAACATTAAACCCAAATAAAAAAGCACTCTTCGGCAGAAAAATGCATCCGAGCTTATTTTCAATTTGAACATTCCTCATAGTATAAAAATAAGTTGAGTGAGTATTAAGTGAGAGTCCAACAGTTGGTCATCCTTGTTATTACTTGTTAATCCCAGATTTGGAAAAACTTAAAACTATCAAAAATTTATGATCCGCCATCCCAAATATGGTCCCAGGTCAACTTTGGGTTGCAACTTGCAAGTATGCTCACCATTTAGGTTCCAAGAAACAGCACCATAAGGGCTTACTATGATTTAATATAATGTTAGAAATTTAAATACTTTCTCCGTTCTTTTATTATTGCACCACTTGCCTTTTAAGGAAATTTCACAAATATTGCACCATTTCCATTTAAAGAAACAAAATATGTGTGTTCACACTGTAAATATCCAATATACCCTTACTTTTAACACTTGATTCTTTACTTTATGTTTACATCACATGACCTTATTTGTACTTTTACCCTTCTCTCTCCTCATTTTTCCCACTACCAAAAAATGTGAACCCAACATGTATGGTGCAATAATAAAAAAACGGAGGAAGTAGAAGATGTCAATAATCAGGACATTTCCTATTAATTTTTTTTTTTTTTGGAAGGAGAGCCAGAACATTATGACACCAATCTAAGGTATAGAGAAACGGCAGTGTATACAACCTCCACTTGGTGACTGAGCAGAAATAGTTGTAGACGTAGGAGCTTCCTTAGCGGCTTTCTCTTGCAATTTTGCCTGTCAAAAATGCAGGCGATGGTCATTGGTCGACAAATTTCAAATCATTACTAGTAAATTGCTTAAAGATAATGCACTTACAGTGCTTCCATCATCTTCTTGAAGTGACTGCATGAGTGTCTTCCTGAACACCTCCAACTGTTAACACAAGAAGACATACAAAATTAATGATGAACTAAAAGGTACTGTTAACACTAACTGTGGAAAATTTTCACAAATATTCATATTTTGATCTTACCATGCCTTAGGATACAAAACATTATGTTCCAACTTAAATCCATCTACTACAAATATAATCTTCAGTAAGGAAAGTTGGTGAATTAACATCTTTCCATAATTCATGTGTGAATCCTAAAACTGCATATATAGGTAAATGAACAAACTAGTACAAGCATATTTCCAAAAGGATAAAGCTCACAGAAGACAGGAAAGATTAACCATCACTACACAGCAGCAGAAAGGAATAAGTCAATTACTAACTAAAACAGCAAATATGAACACCCAAATCATTGAACACTATCAGAATTTTATTTGTACCCCATGTAATGTTTATGAAGATCCTTCCCACAACACAAGGACTACACATGCTAGGATGTTAATCCTTCAAAAAACAATGGAAGGATGCCCTGTCAAATAAAGCTAATAACTTTGAACAAATAAGTCCCTTTCCAAACAACGCAAAGCTTGATTTAGTTGGTTGAGGATTCACCTGGTAACCTTAAGGCATGATGACATCAAAATATCAAATCCCCCCAATTGTCCCCCTCACTTCCCAAGTGTCTGGCATACAAAAACTAGACTAAGAAATTGTGAAGGTGTCTTTAATTATTTTAATTTTTTTTTTTTTTTGGCAATTAAAATAATAAGAAATAAAGTCCAAAAACAGAAAAAAAAAAACACCAGTACAACAAAGGCACAGGAAGCAAAGAAAGGTCAGCTCAAACTTTCTAGGCAGGACTAAGCTAGCACCAAAACCAAACAAACCAAGCTAGATACAAATAAGCTGTTTCTGGACAGCATTAGCTCTACAAGCTACTGTATAGGCTATTCTACGAAATAAAGTAGCAGTGTCTTCACAATTGCTGAAAACTCTTCTTGTTTCTTTGCAATAACACTTGATATAACATGTGTTTATCTCCATACTTTTTTACTACTCCTCATAGCCCACTATAGCTCATCTGCAAACCCAGCAGGAACTCATTGTTATCACAACATTTATAAAACCTGGCTTCAAATAGCAGCAGCATAGGGACAAGGAAAGAATAAGTGCTCAGCAGACTTTGAGCCCATACCGCGGAGATCACAACTGTTTCCATAGTCTTAATCTATCTCGGGTTAGCAACCTTTTTTAGATAGCTAACCAGGTTACAAACTTGCTTCTTGGAGAAGCCAAGTTGGAGCATAGAATTCTGCACCAGGGAACTCTAGAAAGGAACCGAGAATACATTTAGAAGCCTTTTTTTTTTTTTTTTTTACAGAAAATTTCTCATTCTTAACCAGGAAAACCCAACCACCAACATCTCTAATTAGCTCCAGGCTCGTTCCAAGCAATCTAAAGGCCCAGGGCAAGATAACAAATTGGTGCCCCTTAGACGCCATTTATAGAGCATGTATTCATAATATTTTTTACACTGGCTAGTTTTAGATATCATTTTCTATAAATATATTAAAATCATAATTAATAAATAGATAGTAAACTAATATATGTAGGGATTGGAAGGGGTCATTACGACATTCGCAATGTCACACACAAGACAATCAACCAACAATTTAATCCAATCAACCAAAATTCTCACACAACCAAATCAGCAACAATGCAGTAGCAAAACAACATTAACACCGACAATACCAGGAACAAATGATATTAATCAACACACAAGAATTATACGTGGAAATTCCCTTCGATGTGAAGGTAAAATCCACAAGACCGTTTGAGGAGTCCACCCTAACTTCTCTTATTGATTAATTGAGGGAAACAGAATTTCAAATCAGTTTACAAAAGATTTACAACCCACCAACAACAAACAATAAGAGATAAAAACTAGAAAATGATAAGAGTAGAATTCACCCAAAAATAGTTTTGAGTGAATTCCGACCAAACCAGAGCTTAAATCAACGATCCAACCATCCAAGTGAAGCCCTTGATGTCGTGAAAAAGATGCCCAAATCTAAGCACAATTTAACAGTGAAATTTCCGACAACAACCAGTTTGTAAATGCTATGCCGAAAAGACTGAAAATGGAAGCTATTGAAACCCTCACTCTTTATCTCTATTTTTTTGCGTGCGCTTCCTCTACTGCCTTCACATTCTCAAACTACCCTTATTAGCTCAAGGGTTAAAGGCACAAGCTTACTCAAGAAGCTACAACTTCAGTCCCAAAATTGGACTTACTCCAAACTAGTGAAATGCCATAAAATGGACCAAATAAATGGACCTAAAAGAAAATACATTTTTCTACCAATTGGTAAGACCCATAACAAACCCCCCCCCCCCTCCCTCCAGCTGAACAAGGGGAAGACAAACATGTTTTAATCATCACTTGAAGCTAAATCCCGCAAGCTTACCACAAACTTCAAGTTTGCTTGTGGGAACCATCTTTGTCAACATATTTGCACCATTGTTATCAGTGTGAACTCTTCAGTTTATTTTGTTCCCATCAATGACATTTTGCAACCTATGATATCGAACATCAATATGCTTGGGCTACACATGATACATAGAATTTTTGCTCAAATTCATAGCACTTTGATTATAGCAAAATACTTCATAATCACTTAAACCCAATTCTTGAAGAAACACCAAAGCATCTCTTTACTTGCTTCGCAACATACTCTGCCTCGACAAGGCAACACACTTTGTAACTTGGATTGTAAGGAAGTGGCTCCCACTCCCCTTGAAAAAGTGAACACATAACCTGCGGTACACTTTCTGTTATCAAGATCATCAGCCATATCTGTATCTATATAGCCTTCTACAATAGGTCTAGCATCATCATAACACTAACAAAGTTTAGAGGTACCAATATCTGAAGATCCACTTCAATGGAACCAGTGAGCCTTACCAAGATTAGATAAGTATATACTTACCAAACCAAAAGAATGCGCAATATCTTGCTTAATACACACCATAGCATACATCTAGAACCAACAGAAGAATAATAAAGAATAAAAGACATACTTGCTTTCTCTTTCTATATTTGAGGACAAACTCTCTTACTTAGCTTAAAGTGAGCTCCTAAAGGTATACTAACCAGCTTGGCATGCTTAATATTGAACCTTTCTAGCACCTGTTTAATATACTTCTCATGTGACAGCCACAATTTTCCAGCTTTCCTATCACGAGCAATCTTCATGCCTAAGATTTGCTTTCCAGCTAAATTGGTAGTAAAATGTATTTCTTTTTGGTCCATTCATTTCGTCAATTTTATGGCATTTACTTATTTAGAGTAAGTCCAATTTTAGGACTTAAGTTGTAGCTTCTTGAGTAAGCTTGAACTTTTAACCCTTAAGGCAATAAGGGTAGTTAGAGTGTGAAGGCAACAAAGAATAGACACACACAAAAGTAGAGAGAAAAAGTGAGGTTTTCTGGCACATCTTTCACTAAACTAGTTGTTGTCAGAAACTCCACTGTTGGACCATACTCAAATTTGCACATCTTATTTCTGACATTAAGAGCTTCATTTGGGATGGTTAGATCATCGTTGAGCTCTGGTTTGGTCAAAATTGTCTCTAGACAAAGTTGTTAATTTTAGGTGAATTCTACTCCTTTCATTCTCTAATTTTGATCTATCGTTGTTTGTTAATGTTGATGGGTTGTGAATCCTTTGAAAACTGATTTGGGATTCATTTTCCCTCAATTAATCAATAATAGAAGTTAGAGTGGACTCCTTCAATGGTCTCTTAGTGTTGTTAATGTTGTTGTTTTGCTACTTCATTGTTGCTAATTTGATTGTGTGTTTTTGGTTGTGCGAGAATTAGGGTTTATTGGATTGAATTGTTGGATTATTGTCTTGTGTAAGACATTATAGGTATCAGAGTCGGAGTTATATTTGTCACATTATGGAGTCGAATATTAGTTCGATAGTTAAATTCACATTAACTAATTATTCAATTTGGAAACCTATGATGAAAGACTTATTATATTGTAAAGACTTACATGAACCAATAAAAACAACCACAAAGACAAATGGTAGCACTATTAAACCAACAAAACCTGAAAAAATGGATTGTAAAGATTGGGTGATGTTAAAAAGGAAGAATTTAGGGACTATTAGACAATGGTGGCATATTCGACCATGTGTCACCCATATGAATTGTGGAAGAAATTGGAAGGTCTTTATGAAAGAAAGACCGCCACATCTTAATGACTTCCATCTTATATTAACACGTTGATTGCATGCTTTGTTCTTGTTGAGTTCTTTGCCAGATAGTGGGGAAACTATGGTTGTGACTATTAGTAACTCTACTCAAAAGGATGTGATATATTTGGATGTGATCAAAGAAAGCATGTTTAATGAAGAAATCGGAAGAACGGATATGGGAGTTGATAATTTACATGAAGGAGCAAGAATAGGGGTCCCATAAGTCGTGATAACTCAAATAGCAGGTCCCAAAGGCTCTAATAACTCATGATAACTCAAGAAGACTAATTATATGAAGAACTATTGTTTCCATTTGAAAAAGGAATAAAGAAAGAAGAATGATTCACAAAAGGAAAGAGATGATAAAAACACTACAACAACAACTTTTAAAAGTGATGATGTCAATTTAGTTTGTGCAACAAGTGAATGTCATTTGACATGAAAGATTTGTTGGGCTCGAGTCACCCATGTTGGGATGAACAACCCTAAATAATTAATTGGGATGATCTTCACTTCCTTAATCTTTCTATGTGGAACTTGGGATGAACAACCCTAAATAATTAATTGGCTTAATAGAGTCAAAACCCTCTTAAGGGGCCAAGACATATTAGTAGGATAAGAGTAATTATACAAATCTTTGCCTCTACCACAATCTTTCCTTCTTGAAAAAAATGGCCCACATAAGCTTTGCAACAACTTTTTTACAAGAAATCAAAGTTTCTGAGATTAATGATGAATAAAAGTACAAAACGAGTGGTCATGTATTTGAATTCCAAATAATAATTTAGGTTGTCATAAGAAAACTACTCTGTAGTTAGGTGTGGTTGTAAAAAATAATGTGCTAGAACACTAAACAGGCAATATAATTAGGGTTTGTTCTGTTTGAATGAACTGAACTTAAATGAACTTATTGGAGTGAACTAAACTGAATATTTATGAGAGAAGGAAATTATGAACTTAATTGAAACTAAAAATGCACCGTGTACATCTGAGGTTTGTAAATAAATGCACCAAATACCCTAATTCTCTAACAAATGCACATATATTGACTTATTAAACTAAAATCATGCCACACTGACTTACTTTTTAGTAATTTATGTTTATACAGTAAAACCGCCTAAAAGCATAAATTATATCAAAATTTAAACTTCGTCGATTATTCTAAATCCTAAACTTTTGGGTGTTAGAATTTGCTTTATTAGTTAAGTTTACTTTATAATTAGTAGGTTTAGCATTATAGTAGCACTAAATTGTAATAATTTAATAGAATTTGAAGCTAAGCGGGTCTCAATTTAACAAAATTGACATTTATTGTAAGTCTAAGGGTATTTTGTGCACGTTTTTACATACCTCAAGGGTACACACTGATTTAATATATTTCAGGGATACACGATGCATTTTTTTAAAACCACAAGGGTTCATGGAACAATTTCCCTAAAAAAATGTCAATAATTCCCAATTATTAAACCATTAATAATCCGGAATGTTCCCAACATTATGCACTTAGCTTAAAATCCAAAGTCAAAAATATCATAAACTCATAATTCAATTGAAATGCTTCTCTAGTAATTCCAAAATACCCTGTTAAACTACTTAGTAACTATTTGGCCTAGTTTCTACAAGGGTTTCTTTATCTAAGAATTAGAAATTGGGCCAAACAAGGGTTTTTTAAAAAACAGAAACACTTTCTCAAGAAGCCCAAAACAGCTTCTAGAGTGGGCAAAATGAGAAGCACCAATTTTGAGCTTCTCTACATCAGTTTCTCGGGGAGCTATTTTCCCATTTAATGAAACTTTTTGTTGGACAAAAATATCCTTAACATTTCACAAAAAGACCTCTTATACCCCATTAAGAAAAAGAAACCCCTCTTCTCTCTTCTCCTCTCTCATAAACATCAACTCTTTCTCTCTCCTGAAACACAAACCCCTGAAGGCCAAAAATCATCACCGACGACATGCAATCTGGTCCTCCGGCGCCACCATTTCGTCCACCCAAGAGGACACAACCAAGCAATAATAAGGTATTAATTTTTTTTACTTATGGAAATTTCTTCTCTTTTGTGGATAGAACCCTAATTTCTTTGCATTGATTTTGAGATAGGAGAAAGATATAAATCTCAGTGGTTCTCCTCATCCAAATCATCCCAATATGTCACAAACAAGAAGTTCTGCCAATGAGGTTAGTGAATTGGTCCAGAATTTAGATCTTGAAATTTTCAATTTTGATTCAATTTAGGCGTTTCATTTCAAATTCTGTATTTTCAATTTTGATTCAATTGAGTTGGATGAACTAGGATTAATATGACAAGTGTTTGGGTAGTGTTGTAGTGAATTTCAAATGACATGGTTTTGTTGGATGATTGATTCAAATCAATTATGGCTAGTTGTTCTTGAAGGGTCCATTTTCTGTGAGGATAAATTAATTAGGAGTATGTTGTTAGTGGGAGGTTAGATAGGGTATGTTTATGCATTCTAATCATGGGATAGTTCCATATTTGTAGGTGTAGTTTGTTATTTTCATTTTCTATAAAGTATTCATTGGGTTGGTTTCGACTTGTATGTTATTCTTCTATGTTAATATATTAGATCAAATTTCTTATCAAGTTCCAGCTTGAATTTGTAGTTTACATTTTTAAGTTAATAAGAAATTAAAGTAAACTAAATAGCTTGTAAAGTAAATAAATTTTTAGATAGTTGAGTCTGTTGTTAAATTAAAAGCTTTGAGAAGGAATTATGTATTAGCAAGAATTTCTTTATGACAATACAGTCTTCCATGGCCCAGATTCTTTGCTAGAGATCAATATTAACCCCATTTTTACTCATTCTCCAACTTAATTTGTGTTGTTGTTGGGTTGTCGTGGATGAAAGAGTATGGGGTTTAAAGGGCAGCTAGGGAGTGTGTCGCGTGCGAGGTAGGTATTATGCAAGTTTTTGTAAATAACTCATCAATTTTACATAATTTAAGCCCTAAAATATGTTAAGTACTTAAGTTTTATTTCTTTAATTTTTATAAGTTTGATACTTCATTTCTCATGGTAGGCACTAGTGTTTTTATGGAGGTTTGAAGTGATCTTATTCCTCACTAATATCCTTAGTTAGCAATTTGTTATTCTGTTTACTTTTTTAGCTTCTTGGAATGGTAGATGTCTTATGTAATGTATCCGTTTATGCAAGTGTGTGGAATATGACCATTTTATTGCGGTTTCTCTAAAACTATTTTCTCTTCTTTATTTCTTTTATTAGCTTCAACAGGTTTGACTGATTATTTCAATTTCTTTGTTTTATGAAGTTTTCTTAATTGTTTTAGAATTTTAAATAAAACTCTTGTATCCAAACAGAGCATTATTCGAATTGGATTCTTTCATTTTCAAATTGCTTGTATTGGTGCCAAATTACTTTGGATGGTGATAGTGGAATGGTTGATATGATGTCTAAGTTAAATTATTGTTTTATGAGAAATGCTTGTATGTTGTAAGGTATGTCAATATAATGCTAGTAGAATTTATAAAGCGTGACATTGGGAGGCAGATTGCATTGTGTTGTTTCGAGGAGGATAAAATCCCTTACATAGGGCGCAAAGGTATCCCTACACAAAATGTGTTAGCAATTTATGACTTTGACATGTTATTTACATATTTTGTTGCTGGATGGCCGGGATCTGTTCATGATAATCGAATCTTAAAGGATGCAATGGAAGACCCCAAGAAATATTTCCCTCATCCACCCGAAGGTATATATTTATGAAACTATTATGTGTAATCGTTACCATTATTATATACTATGGTGTCATTATCTAATATTATACAATGTACAGGAAAATGTTGTTGACGCGGGTTATCCGAATATGAAAGGATTTTTAGCTCCTTTCAAAGGTGAACGATACCATGTTCCTGATTTTCGTCGTTCAACACAACCTCCAAATGGTTTCTATGAAGTCTTTAATTATTCACATTCGTCGTTGAGAAACGTTATAGAGAGAACATTTGGTGTCTGGAAAAAAAGATGGAGGATATTATCAATTATGCCCAGCTTTCCGTTGGAAACTCAAAAGAAACTTGTTGCAGCTACTATGGCTATGCATAACTATATAAGAAGACACGCGCTTGAAGATTTGGAATTTGATAAATGTGATGCAGATCCTTATTATATACCTGAAGTTGAAGGGGATGTGGATATTGGAGGCAACCCGGTAACTACTCTTGAAGAACATGATGGATCAATGGATGATTTTAGTATGGAGTCTATTCGCTACAATATTGCAACTTCTCTAATGAGTCGTTGATTGTAACATTATTGGATCTTTTATTAGGAATAATTATATTAGACATTATGTTTGTAATTATGAACGTATGAAACTTTTGGATATGAATTATTAATATGAAATTTAAAAATCTAAGTATTTAGACTTATGAATTGTTCAAAATTTTATATTAAAATTTTATCTTACAAGCAATTATAAACAATTTGCTAACCAAAATTTTTTTAAAATAAAAATAAAAAAAAAAAAAAAAAAAAAAAAAAAAAACTATTATTAACAACAATGTACAAGAAATTAATACTAGTTTATTCTCCCAAATAAATTTTTTTAAAAAAAAAAAACTGATATGGGCCAAACAAGGTAAAATAGTTTCTCAATCTAAGAATCACTTCTGATTTTTGATGGGCCAAACAAATTTGTTTCTTACAAGTGTTTCCCTAGAAATAGTTTCTGGAAAACTACTTCTGGGAAACAGAAGTTGTTTTTCAGAAGCTTGGCCAAACAAATAATTAATCGCCCAAAATCCACAAAATCAATATAATAAAGAAAAACCCATAAACCCTAATCCGAATCCCTAATCTACACCCTAATTATGTTAATTGCGTTCAATTAAAACTTGTATACAAATACAATAAACAATGAATTAAAAGGAAAGTGTGAAACATTATTTGAATAATTGAGAATTTGTGTTCAATTGATTGAGTATAATCTTTTGGATTATTGAGTAAGAATGGAGGGGAAGTTAATTCAGAAAGAGAGAGAAGGTAATTAGAGGAGTTAATTAAGTGGGAAAATTGAAAAAGTAGGCCCAATAACGTCTTAATTGGACGGAAAATATTAATGGGTAGTGCTCCCCAAACGTGGGTAGTTGTTCACAAATAAAAAAAATTGAATAGTTGTTCACAAATGACCCTATCTTTATAGCAGTTCTACACTAAATTTTCCTAAAATAAAACATTCTGAGTTATTAAAATATAATTTAAAAAATAATAATATTAGCAACGTACCTTGGATACATCTCTTCGAAGCTTAGCAACAGTATTGGACAACGAACTATTCTCCTTCAACAAATTCTCCTAAACAAACAAATATATCAATTACATAACAGACTTGAAAATTCAAAAACAGAATTCAATATCAGAGCGAATAATTGTCCCTTATAAAAAAACCCGAAAATTAATAAATACAAAAAAAACCGAAATACCATTTAGAAAAGGAGGGAGTAACACGAAAAAAAAAAAAAAAAAAAACCTTTTCTTTTTCGGCACGGGAAACACGGTCTATAGTTTCAGAGAGGGAGGCATCAAGAGACTCAATCTGAGATTGAAGATCAGAGATGATGTCGTCTTTTTCGGTGACCTGAGAACAGAGAACAGACGCTTCTGATTCGAGGGCAGAAACACGTGTCGAAAGGGCAATGGAGGTGATCTTACGGGCAACATCAAGCTGAGCAAAAGGATCAGAAGGTAATGCCTGTAAAACTTCATCGGGAAGATCGAAGTCGTTAGTTGTTGATGAAGTTCCCATTTTAGTGGAGGAATCACTTCTTTTTCTTTGTCTCCCCTCTTTTTCCGCGCTTACTCTATCTCATTTTTTATTTTATTTTTTTTGGATATTATTTTTGTTTTTCAATTAGTATTAAAATGTTTTGGGGTATGTCTATTGTCTGGATGAACGTGTGGTTGGTGTTAGAAATATTGGATTAGTCAAACAGATAAGAAAATCCTTTGAAATTTACTAGTTGAACCACCCATACATAACTTGGTTTGTAAATCCTTTTCAAGTGTAAAGATTAAAGTAAATATTGGCAAGATTTATCTCAATATATGTTGACCTCGATTAGTTTTGGTGATGACAAGCAAACTCGATTTGATAAAAGTGTATTAAAGGCATGTTCTCTTCCGTTGAAGTTCAGTTCAGTTCAGTTCAGTTCAGTTCAGTTCAGTTCAGTTCAGCTCTTAATTTATGTCTAATGATATTGCTAATGATATAAAGCCAAATTTCATTCTTTTAAACTCTTATTACAACAACAACAACAACAACAATAATGATAATAATAATAATATTAACAATAATAATAATAATAATAATAATAATCAATAAGTAATAAATAATAATAATAATAAAGAGAGTGGGTTAGGGTGTTGGGCCGTAGCAAATTTTAGCTTTTCTTTTTTTTTTAAATATTTTTTTTAAAATATTTTTTTTAAAAAAATTGTTTAAATGGGTTAGATACATGTAAGTGTTTTGTGTTCTGTTGTCATAATACTATTTTATTTTTAAATTAAATAGTATATGTGTTTAAAATGTTTAGAGGTTTCAAGTATTTAATATATTTTTCATAAATTTTATAATTATATAGTATATTTTTCGTAAATATTTTAATATGTACATTTGTATATACACATATGTATAGTAATAAATAATCAATAAATAATCAAAGATCACTAATCCGTAGTTAAAAATCACTAATTAATAAGTTCAGTTGAGCTTAGTTCAGTTCAGTTCAGCTGAGTTCAATCAATCGGAATAGGCCCTAAGTGTGCAGGTTATTTAGGCAGGTTCTTATTAAGAACAAAGTTCCGGGGTTGGAACTAAGAGAAGTCCTTAATCTACATATGGCATACACAACAATTTGAAGTGAAGAAGGCAAAGAAGGTTTTATGCTTTGATGTTCTATTTGGCAAGATATAGTTATCAAAGGTCCAATTGGAATATCATAAAAGCAACGAGTATTACATGAAGACTAAAAAGTATGAGTTAATATTTTTAGGCTTTATGTAAGTGTTTGATATTTTATGATTGGTTGGAACACAAGGAATACGAGAGTTAATTGGAATTAAAAATGAAACGATCGATCAATTTTATAAATTTGGTTTTTATCTTATTTTTGTTTTTTGTTAAATTTATAAAAAGATATTTCTTTGATATTTTTTTTAACAAAATAAATATCTTCTGTAAAAAGATTTTAAGTGATTCCTTAAATTACTCTCCAAGGAAAAGATTTATTCAAACCTCATCCCACGTTCTATATTGAACGACTTTCCTGACTTCTCTACATTGCTTGAGTTAGTTCCTAAAGTTTAGGAACACCACCTCAAGTAGTGGAGAATGTGGGGAAGGTGGTTGGGTTGATGAAACAGTATAAAAAAGGAGTTGAGTTTCAGTTTTAAGGCATCTTGACAATCGTACAACATTTGAGTAAAAAATATATTTGTTAGTGAGAGTATTCCTATGTTCCAACTATTGTAAGATATCTAAACACATAGAGTTCAAATTACTGAGTTGTAATTTGGGAAAGGGTTGAGTGATCCTTGTAAAGACTTAGATTTAAGTCTTGAGTGTAGGCTTCGGAGTAGAAGCTAGAGTGAGCATTTGGGGTTAGCTTAGGTTCTAATTGGAACTTAAGTTTTGTCGAGTTCCTTATAGGTTGTAATGGAGTAGTTGCCCTATTTAGTGAAGTCGTGTTCGAAAATCCAAGTGGTCGTGGTTTTCTCCTTGTTGGGTGATATGTTCATTTTATATAGTATTTTACCCCCGTCCCTTGGTCATAATTAGTAGTGTTTTTGGCTCTTTAGAGCAACTTTTACTACTAATTGGTGTTTCCTAGTGTTTTCGTAGATTTGGTTGACTTTTGTAGGGATTTGCACTTTTGGAGCATTTTCCCGAGATATTAGGGAGTATCTACGAGCATTGGAGATGCACGACCATCCTTCATAGCCCAGGGCCGGTTAGAGCCATCGAACCCGTGATTAAGGGTTTGGTATATGTGATATCGGGGCATTTGGACTGAGTATTCAAAATTCGAAGAGGAAATCCAGATTGGCCCAAAGAATTAGAGCCCAATCGAAGTCCAAAGAGAGGCCCAAGAGTGCCGCCCGACCATTAGAGGTCCCGCCCGAAGGCGCGCCCGGCCGGGCAGGGGAAGTGAAGTTGGCGCCCAAACTCGCGCCCAACTGGGCGTGGTGAGAGACATACCTGGGAGTAAAAAGGCGGGCCCGATCGGGCAGTGCCTCGCCCGATCGGACGCGTGTTATAATTAGATGGTTTAATCGTCGTTTAAGTTTATTTTAGTTTAGAATTCTTGCTTAATATAAATACTTTTCCGTTAAGCGAGTTGAGTATCTTCTTTTACTCTTTCTTAATTCGTTTCTTAGATTTTCTCTCTCTACTTAGCTTTTAGATTAGTTTCTCTCTCTCATATACTTTTGTTCTTTACTCTACTCTTAATTCCAGATTACTTTGGTAACGATTTGTTCTACTTTAATCTCAGTTATTTATTTTAATTCTTTCATCATGTCTTATTTTATTGCTTTGATTAGTTTAGATTTAATTATGTGTGAGTAGTTTTATTTCTAGGGTTTATGGGGATCCATAAATAATATGAAGGGGTAATTTATTGTTGTTGATTATCAATGCAAGATTAATTTCCTATTGATTGATTTAATGCTCTGTGGCTAGATTAGGCCTGATCTTTTATGCATGAGTTTGACAATATTTATTCGAAATTCGAGAGATGAGAATTGATGTTTAGGTCTAGTTTCAATAGGCAAGTTAATTTATAAATGGTTAAGTCGAGATTCGAGAGATGAGATTTAATACCGGTAAATTAATTGTGTGATTGTAATACGTATCGAAGCCCTTTATGATCTGATTAATTTATGCATTGATGATTGATTATTATGTTTTACCTTGGAATGTTATTTATTGGTGAACCTATGCCCTAGGTCTTTTATTCATTGATTTCCTCTATTGTTATTCTTCCCTACTTTTAATCTCAGTAGTTTAGTTTCCTTTGATTATAATATATTGGTTATTTTATAATTTAGATTACTTGAATTAATTAGGAATAGAAAGACCAGTTTCCCTGTGGATTCGACCCTACTTCTCTATCTATTATTAGTTAGTGGTTTTAGGAATTACTTTGTATTAGGTGATACGACTTTAGCTTGTCAAATTTTGGCACCGTTGCCGGGGAAACGGTTTTATTTTTATTTCTGATTATTTTTGTAGTCTAGGTTATTTCTTTGAGGCAAGTCTCATATTTGCTTTTAGTTCTTTGTTTATGCCCAGGTGTTCCAGATCAGGTTACATCCCATTCGATCCTGAGATCGAACGATCCTTCCATAGACAAAAGAATTTCTACAAGCAAATTATGGCGGGTTCTGGTGATAATAATAATCACCGAGACCCTCCAACTGATTCTAGCGATTCGGAGGTATCTTCAGATCCAGAATCAGAGATGGCGGTACCTAAGAAGCTCAGTGATTATTCACAGCCAAAGCTTACAGATTTTTCGCACCTTACTCCCATTCCAGCTAATAGCCCTGTAGGGCTAAAGAATAGTACTGATATATCTGATTTTACATTGTAGGGTACGACTCCAGGGAAAGTAGCAACTCCAGATAAGAGCGATATTGCTCCAAAGCCAGTTATCAAACTTCCATTCCCCAATCGTCACTTGAAAACAAATTTGGATAAGCAGTTTGGTAAGTTTCTGGAGATGGTAAAAGATTTGCAGGTAACAGTTCCCTTCACTGAATTAATTACACAAATTCCAGCATATGTAAAATTTATGAAGGAAATATTGACAAGAAAAAAGTCTATTAGTGAGGTAGAGACTGTAGCTTTCACTACAGAATGTAGTGTCGTACTTCAAAAAAATCTCCACCTAAACTGAAAGATTCGAGTAGTTTTTCTATCCCTTGTCATATTGGCAATATGATGATTGATAATGCATTATGTGATTTGGGCGCTAGCGTTAGTGTTATGCCATTATCTCTGTGTTCCAAGCTAAATATGGGTAAATTAAAAGCTACTAACATTACTCTACAAACGGCCGGCCGTTCTTTTAAATACCCCTTAAGTGTTTTAGAGGATGTTCCTGTTAGAGTAGGTAAATTTTGTATACCTGTTGATTTTGTTGTTCTTGATATGGCTGAGGATATGCAAACCCCAATTATTTTAGGTAGACCATTCCTTAACACTGCAGAAGAAATTATAGATGTGAGATGTGGCAAATTGACACTATCAGTAGGGGACGATAAAATTATTTTTAATCTTAATAATACCCCAAAAAGCCCCATGACAGAGGAGAAGTATTTTAGTGTTGATGTGGTTAAAAACTATTCTAACAAGCCCCAAGCTCTTGTAAAAGATCCCTTGGAGGCGGTATCTTGTGTTGCATCTTCCACAGATGAAGTAAACAAATGGCATAAGGAAGTTGATGCAATAGAAAGAGCCCTCTACATTGTCGGTCTTGGCTTTGAGGATGAGAAGCTGGAATTAAACAAGAAAGCTATGGAAATTGAGCCTACAATAAGTGTTCCACCAGATCGAGTTGCAAGTGCTAAAAGTAGTGACAATTTGAAGCAACCATCAATCGAAAAGGGATCTTTAGTGCGTAGCATTAAAGAACCCCCAATCCAAGTCAAGGAGGATCCACCAGATAAGTTGAATTAGCGTCCCACAGGGTATGTCAGGAAGCCGCGTCGTGGCCTAAACACCGCTCGACCGGGTGAGAAACCACCCAACCAAGCATTAGGCCAAGGGTCCTAGTTCTTGTACTTGGTAAGAAGGTAATGCGGGACCTAGATAAACCAGCGCTTTGCGGGAGGCAACCCATATTTTAATGCTTTTTAGACTAGTTTTTCTTTTCATTTTCTTGTGAGAGGAGAGAGGAGGAATCTAATGAGTTTTATGAGTTTTTGTACAGGTTTGAAAGAAAAGAGTTAGCAAAAAATTGAAGAAAAGAAGAAAGGA